ACACACACACACACACACACACACACACACACACACACACAGATCTGGCTCCAGATGGCTGGGTGGAAGGCGGATCGGCCGGGTCTCGAGTTAGGTAGGCCCCTCCCTCGCAGCTCTCCCTGGCAGGTCCTAACCCCAGCTCCTGCCAGCCTGGCTTTGAGCGCTGCCTGGCCTAGGCCTGGGAGCTCCCCGGGCCTGCAGGGTTCCCAGACCCAGGCCTGTGCCCCTTTTGGAGGCTGGCTGGACAGTGGTTCAGCCCCTGCTGTTGTTTAGCCAGATCCTCTGGTGGGGCTGGCTTGTGGTTGTTGGGAAAAGCAGGGGGAGGCTCGCTCTTCCCAGAAAGAACAGCAAACAGGCCTTCCTAACCTCAGGATCCAGGAAGAGAAGCCAGGCAGGCCTCAGCCAAGAGTTAGGCATGGGGTGGAGGGGGGCTCATTGTCTCCCACCTCCCAGTCCTCCCACTCCCAGACCATAAGAATACCCCCAATCTGATGGAGGAGGCAAAATTTCTATTCTAAGGGAGCCGCCATTCTGATGGGAGAAATAAATCTTTGCCCTAGGGGGCCCCTAGTCTGGGGGGAGTAGACAGTGTCTTGTGGGAATAAGGGAAACACAAGTCCCTGCCTTCAGGGATCTCACATTCTTGAGGGTGACACAGCAGACAGGCCCTATATGGTGTGCAGTGCCATGATAGGACTGAGTAGGGAGTGCCAACCCAGACCCACCCCTACTAATGGTCAGGGAAGGGTTGTCAGAGAAGGGACATCTAAGCTGAGACTGTAAGGATGAGCAGAGTTAAGAGTATGGGGGAGGAGAGCAATGCTGGCAGAGGAATCAGCTCAAGCAAAGACCCCTAAATTGATCGAGAACAGTGCACACGGGGGCCCAGAGAGTGAGTGAGGAGGTCAGTAGGGCCAGATGGGGAAGAGCCTTATGAAGAAATGTGGTAAGGAGTCTAGACTATATTCTTAGAACGCTGGGGGCCCTTGAGGAGTTTTAATCAGGCGGCACCACAGACAGATTTGCATTTAGGAAGCACTAGCTCTGGCAGCAGTGTGGCGGGGTATGGAGGGCATGAGAGCCAGGAGGCTGGGAGGCCCAAGTCAGTGGTGGTCTGAAGTAAAGGAGGGGCCAAGGGGATGGAGAGAAGAGGGGGATCTCTTCATAACATTCAGGATTGGATGGGGGGGCAGGTAAGGAGGTGATTGACACTGGCTTAGGTCTCCTGGGGGTGGGAAGTGGAAGAGCCTTAAAACAGTGTACTAGAGATTTCCTCTGCACCCCTTCCCCCTGCCAGATTGTGGAGAAACTCTCTTTGCCCTCCTTCTCTAGTTCCCCTTGAAGGGCTGAAATGCTTCATAGACTTCCCATCCTCAATGTGACCTCAGGCTGCACAAGACACCTGCCAACTCCTCCCAACTCCCTGCCTTGAGTGCTCCCACTATCTTCCTCCTCACTCTCAATGCTCCACCAACTAGCCTTCTTTCAATTATTTAAGCTCCCCTGTTCCCTTAGCCACAGGGCCTTTGCGCATGCTGTCCTCTGTCTGGAACATTCTTTCCCCTTCTTTCCTAAGTTACCTCCCAGTCTAATGCTTCCTTGGGGAAGCCCTCCATGTACTCAGGGCCCAAATTAGGTTCAGAGAACACCAAGTCCCACTCCTTTTCTTTAGACCACTTATCTCTCTTGGTAATTAGACGCCTGTCTGAGTGATTATTTGATTACTGTAAATCCCAGGAAACCAAAGACGGGCCTGGTTTTTCTCACCTTCTAATCCTCAGCTCCTTGTCTGGCATATAGTTGGAACTCAATAGATGTTTGCTGAATAAATGAATGAATGTGCTCTAAAGCAGCATTGTCCAATAGAAATATAATGTGAGTGACATATATAATTTAAAATTTTCTCATAACCACATTAAAAAAGTAAAAAAAAACAGGTGGGATGAATTTTAATAATACATTTTATTTAGCCCAACATATCCAAAATATTATGCCAACATATAGTCAATATTAAAAAGTTATTAATGAAATAGTTTACTTTTTTTTCCTAGTAAGTTTTCAAAATCCCGTGTATATTTTATTCTGACAGCACATCTCAATTTGGACTGGCCACATTTCAAGTGCTTAGTAGCGCCACATGGCTAATGGTTTCCACGTAGGATAGCTCAGCTCTAGAGATTTACAGCACTCAGAGAAGGAACTCATTCTGAGCCCTCAGTGGGCTCAGAGAACAGAAGCTCCCTTGCTTCTTCCTTCTGCCATCACTCTCCTTTGGGCCTGAGGCCTATAGTTCTCCCCTCCCCCACCACCAAGGCCTTTCTCCTCCAGGCTGGGGCCCTGGAGTCTCTCTCTTTGTTTCTTTCATTCTCTAGCCTAGAGGATGAGACCTTCCATCTTTCCCAGCCCAACAGGTTCCCATCTCCTCCCCCATCTTGGCCTCCCTCTCCTCTTTCATTCAGTGCAATGAGGCCTGGGACCATACTTGGAAAAATGTGAAAGGCCTCTTCATCCAATTGGGGAGGGGCATGGAGGGGCCCCTGAGCCCATGGTCCAGTGCTCCAGGGGAAAGAAGGGCTGGGCCAGAGCTAGGGGTCAGGAGAAGACATTTCCCGTGATGCTCCAGGTTGGGGGTCTGCTGACCATATGTCTAGGGGAGGTGGTTT